GTCCAAAGCCATAACAACTTACAACGCCGGAAACTCAGAAGGGCTTAGGGGTTAAGGGAGGTTGAATTCTCTGGAAACCCTAAACCTCTAAACCCTAAACCCCAAACCCCTACATCCTAAACCCCTCAACCCTAAACTCCAAAAAGGGCCTTTTTGCAAAACAAAACCCAAACTCCTGATGACAGTCACTGAGGTATCCGTGCATCCCAGAGGCCATGGCTGTTGCTAATGACGATGAGTGGGACGACGAGACCTATGCCCGACAGCAGGCTGACGAAGAGTTTGGGTGAACTTGTAATTTATGGGACTTCGGGAAATATGGGTATAATATGGGCTAGTCTAAACTCCTTAAAGGAGGTTATCTAGGAATTATGTAGGGATCCCGTTATAGGTTTAAGGGGATACTACGAGGTTAGACTATGGCTCATATAGGGATATATAGGGATAATGGACGAGAACATGAAAACTACTATTTACTGTTCAGGGCTTAGGGACAAGATCATGGATAGCTTACCACGTTCAAGCCTGCTTTTGATCATGGATGCTGCACACGTGTCTGCGCCTAGCACGCTGCACAAAGGTTGCAACCCAAGTCTGCTGGCTTGCAAGTAACCCCAATATACTATAGTAGTTTCCATTTTCTTTTCCATCATCTCTATATAGCCCGAATATACTATAGCAGTTTCCATTTTCTTTTCCATTATCCCTATACAGCCCGAATATACTATAGTAGTATCCATTTTCTTTTCCATTATCCCTATATAGCCCCGATATACTATTTCTGGGCGCTTCCGGTAGAAATGCCTCCAAGTTCCGCTTAAACCTTGGCGTGTTTCAATATGCACATTTTTTTTGGAACGCGGTGATGCTTGCAGGAGCATTTGGAGCACTTCTACGAAGAAGTCTTCCTGGAGTTAGCCAAATTTGGCGAGGCCCACATGATGTTTCCCCATGTGTGCCTGCAATGCTGGCCTTAGTTGTGCAACATTGTCGGATGAGGGTTCCACTGCCGGGGCTTGTGGATCATGAGCTGATAGGTTGGGTCATTCCCCCACCCAGTAACTGTCCTTAAAGGGGGCCTTAGTAAGGGGCTATTATCATTCCTAGTACCCCTTGTGTTAACAGTTGCTGTAAAGGGAATAACCCAACTTATAGGGTCTGAAGCGAAGGCATCAACTGGCCTTAGCCCCGATGCATGTGGGTCAAGAGGCCAGGCATTCAACCCAGAAGGCAACCAGTCAAGCATGGGCATGATAAGTCCGCTTGTACTGGTCGTTGAATGCACACAGACCTTTTGCAGGCGTTTTTTTGAAAGGACGAATCTGTAGCTTGACACTTCATGTTTCTAGCTACATCTTGTGGATATCTGAAGCCGGAGTCTGTGAAGATTACCAGATGCGTCAGTAAACCCTAAACGTCTAAACCCTAAATATTAAGCCTCAGAACCCTAAACCTTAATTCAATCCCCCACACCCTAATAATATCTCAACCTCCAAAATGTTTGACTCCCCAGCCTCAAACCCCAAAACAACGTCCTAAGCGCTCGCTCCTCGCCGCCCGGGCTGAAGTGACAACGGGTGCATTCTGGGAAGTGCCCAGCGGCCGCCAGCTCAGCAGAAACTGGCACCATAGACCATATCAACTATAGTCCAAGCTGATGGAAGGTGGTTTTATGGGGGATTAATTGGGGGAGTAGCATAGGGGTTATTAAGGGGTATTCGGGGGAAACCAGGAGTTTAGATTCTAGCTCATATCTGGGTTAATTACGGGTCCTTTGCAAAATTGTTATGATCTATTGGTGTCTGTATTTGTGGCCCCCTACTTGTGAAAACCACCATATGCACTGGACGTGGTTTAGACTATGCGGGTAAGAGGGGTGACCCTTCATTCCACTAAAAGCTCTACTCACTCCAAAACCTAAACCCTAAACCTCAAACCCCCAACCCTAAACCCTAAACCCTACATAGTAGTTTCCATTTTCTTTTCCATTATCCCAGTATAACCCCAATACAACCCCAATATAACCTTATCATATTCCCTAAAGCCACTTTTCCCCAAACCTTTCCCCTAAACCCTAAACCCCAAACCCCAAACCCTAAACCCTAAACCCCAAACCCAAAACCCAAAACCGTAAACCCTAAACCCTAAACCCAAAACCCCAAACCCCAAACCCTAAACCCCAAACCCTAAACCCTTTCCCCTAAACCGACAGCTCAGGCCTCGGCGCCATGGGTGGAGAGGTCGAGTACCGAGGGCAGCTCAGTGCTTGGCTCCTTGGGCATGGTCCAGTTGGGATTTTATAGGGGTTATATAGGGATAATAGGGTTTAGGGTTTAGGGTTGAAGGGTTTAGGGTTTAGGGTTGGAAAAGAAAATGGAAACTACTATATTATAGGGTTGTATAGGGATATATCGGGATATATTAGGATATATAGGGCTACATGAGCTATAGTCTCAATTCCTTAAGGGGTCATATGGGGTTTAGGGTTTAGGATTTTGGGTTTTGGGTTTAGGGTCTAAGCTCCTCAAAGGGAGGGTTGTATAGGGGGCTTATTTAGCGGAGTGCTATAGGGGTTGAAAAGGGGGATACTAGGAGTTTAGACTATAGCTCACAGCTACCTGTAGCTGCTTAGCCATATATTTATATCGAAATGATATTGCCCTGCTAATAATGGAGTACGAGCCGGGAAAGACAATGGAAAATGAAACGGAAACTGGAGTTATACTTGGTGGTTTCTAGGGGTTAGAGTATATGAGTGAATGGCGCCAAAAGCTACTGTGAATATCAGGGTTAGGGAGGGACCATTAAGGGTGCAAGGTTTCTGTAGATCAGTCTAGTCCGAACCCGCGTCCATTAATTATTTGGGAAGTATTGACCTTAGCTCATATAGGGATAGAGAATGGCTTATTCTGGAGTTCATGTAGGGGTAATACGGAGGATATGCCTGGAGTATTATCCCAATAGTGGAGAATCAAATGGACCAGAACATGCAAATAGGGGCCCCAATATTGATCCCAATATGCAGTTATCCTTGTGGCCCCAAGTTTTCGTAAAAGCTCCGAAGCCCTAGACCCTACACCCTAAACCCCCATTTGGGATAAGGGCAAGCTCGTTCTGCTCGAAATGGAAGGAGCGCCAAGACACCCAGCTAATGAAGACCCCCAAAAATACAGTAGGTATATTAAGGCCCTGTTATAATTCCATCTTGAAGGGCTGTTACTGTAGAAGGGATTTACCTACAAACCCTTTCGACAAATGCCCTGCACTTCGATACTGGCACAACACAGGGAAGAATCTGTAGCACAGGGACCGCCGAGGTCGCGTTTGGAGGATTACAGAGCTGTATCGCAAGTCTGCTCATTTGAGTACCTTTCTTTCAATGTAAAGCTGTTCTGGAGGAATGCCCAGTCTCTGGGCACTACTGGGAGTTGAGCAGGACAAGAAGTAGCAACAACAGTGCCAGCAAGGGAGACCAGTCACAACACAAGACATGGCATGGAGTGTGCTAGCCGCAAGCGTCAAACCTGTTCTGAGCTCAGTAAAAGCGATGATAGATACACACAGATGTCAGGCAATTTCTTCCTACGACTTGGGTTAGGGTAGTAGACCGGAGCTTCCAAAAGTTTGTCACACGAATTGTACGTAAAAGTGGAGAAGCAGCGGGCCCCTGGGTGTTGGAACCACCGATGTAGTGTCCAAGGAACATAGGATATTCGGCTGTCCTCTCCTTTACGTGACTAGCTCGCCGGTTGTGTTGTGCTGACCTGAACCATGCATCTCTTGACATCTCTTGTCGTCCTGGGTGAACGCTGCAGGCTGCAGAAGAAGAAGAGCGGAACGTCGGCATTCAGGATGCGAGAGTCGCTAACTCAGACGGACATGAGATCAGCCAAGAGTATTCCCTTACCTTTCGAGGAACTCAGTAGTGCGTTGTCAACTCAAGATGAGCTTCAGCATCGAGGTACAATAAGCGCTACTTCACCCTGGATTTCGACACGACACTTGTCTGCGCCCATCCGATCTACGGCAGGTCCTGTACGGGTCAAGGCCCTAGGCCCCAAGCCTCACCATGCTTCGGGGCACCATCACCAAGGCACACATTCTTCTATGCCCACTCTGAGGGCAGTAGCAAGGCCACTGGCAGAGCAGATCAGCAGCATCAGTGCAGCATCCTTACTTTGATGGAATAGATATCTGTTGGTTCTTCGAGAAGGTACATCATGAATACTCCTACTTACTTCGTCTCACAAGATTTGCTATGCAGTTTGAATAAAAGTTGTTTGCATGTGCAGGTTTCGGCAGTAACGCCGTTCGCCGATATAGTGGATGTGCGGATGCCTGAGGCGCAGAAGTCGGGCCAGTGCTTTCTTGTTTCAGATGTGGTCAAGAAGATCGTTGTTGGCTATCCTGCGGAACAGGCTGACTTGAAAGGAGACAACATCTCCGAGTTCAGCAAAGGCAGTAAGCGTCATCTCCTCAGAATGTTGATCAGCTGGGTTTCGAACGCTTGCTCCCAGCAGCTGGGTTTGGAGCTTGAGAATCCAAAGCTGAAGGCTCCTTCCTCCAGCGAACTACGAGCTTCCTCAAAGCCGCAAAGGAGGCAGAGGACACGACGCTGGCCTGGTGTTGCTACAGACCTTGCAGTGTTCGCAGCACTCCACTTGGATCCGGTACCGCAAGAGAGCTTGATTTCAAGATGCATATTTCTCTCATGAAGGAGAATCCTTGAACACAGCGACCTCGCGTAAAGACGAGACTAACTTTAGGCAGTCGTGAAAGGTCTGATGCTGCTGTGCCTCACGTTTGATCTTGGAGGAGCAGCATATGCTTATGGTCATGACCCGCCCGGCCAAGACCATGGAGCTTGTGCCAGGGGCCCAGATGGACCACAGGACCTCTAGATTTGGATCTGAAGAGGGCTTTGTGTTTGTAAATGTTTGGTTTAGACCTCGCAGTAGTAGGCGCAACATGAGTAGCAGCTCAATCATTGCGACATGCAAGCGTGGCAATGGTGGGCAATGGAGCAGCAGCAGAAGGAGTAGAAGGAGTAGAAAGCAAAAGCCGGAGCAGATGACCTCAGCACAACTATGACTTCCATGACAGCCTCCCGCCCGTTGCAACACTCCTCCTTCTCTTACTCCTGCTGGCGCTGCTACTGGTACATGACTTGAATTCTGTGTGTTATGCTGAGAGCAATGTTGAAAACATCGGCTCAGGTGCTCCTCTGCGACCGAGGCGTCGACCTGGTTCGAGGCCGGTGGGTCTGCTAGTTTTCGCAGCAGCAGTCGAAGCAGGTCATGTGATCCCTACATAAACTCAGTTTCAATTTCATTTTCCCCTATATAATCCCATACATAGCCCCCTTTTAGGAGTTTAGACTGTATCTCATTTGAGAACGGCAGCTCCATACGCGAGGCCCTTAAGACGGCCATTTCTATGGACAGGGAGGCCATTGAGGCATCTTCCCGAACTTGAATTCAGGTACCATACTACTATGGGTATACAGGGTTTAGGGATTCAGGGTTTAGGGTTCTCCTGAAGGGTGGAGAGTTGGCGGTTTCCCAAAATTTGGTGTACCCTAAATTCAGGGGTCCCTATAAGAAGGATTATAGTATTTTTGGGATCTCTCCTGCAGTCCCTCTATTTAGGGAAATTGCCAGCCCTGCTGACCAGCAGTGCTGCTGTGCATCCAAGCATTGCCATGTTCAGATGTACTAGAGCCTAAACCTTCAGTACTGCCCCCCCCAGTAACAGCTGGATAATAATTATAATATGGATATATATAGCCCTTAATAGGGCCCCTAATATAGACTGTTACTGGGGGGGGGGGCAGTACCCAATCTAAACTCCTGATACAGGGGACTGGTACTGGGGGTATGAAGGGGATACCAGGAGTTTAGACTACAGCTTAGATAGTAAGGAATTCAGTTGG